ATACAATAGAAACCTCTAGGTTAAAATTATCCCAAAATCCAAATAAAATTTAATCGTCCTACCATCCCTTTCGTACTAAACTATTCGAGAAATTAATTCGCAAAAAAGAGTGAAAAATCGTTTGCATAATTTCTTTTTCGATTTTGGCTCTGCTGATACACATTTTATGGGTAATTTCAAACGTAAAATGGTCTAAAAATTGAGTTATTTGAGGCAAAACTTGGCTACTGCTGTTTTATCATTCACTCGAAAGGTACCTAATCATAATCTGGTTATACTATATTTACTTTCTATTTTCTATTTTATTGTTTTAATCATTACTATTAGTGTTTTTATTATTGTAACATATTGATAGAAATATTATTTTTGTGTCCCACTGTGCGACATGGACATGCGCTCGGTATAAATAAAGTATATAATTCAGAAATAGAAAGATTTAGTAACTCGTGTAGAATCAATAGGGAATTTACTGCTGCACAAAAGATATTGACCTAAGTTGAAATTGGAACTCGAGTCATTTCACAAAATCGGCTCTCCAGTAAAAACTTGTTTTGCCTATTTTTTTCATTTCTGTGGTTTTCCTAAGGTCTATTAGAAAGATTCTCTACCGATCGTTCCCAGATTTCACACTATGAAACAAAGATTTATAAATTTTTAAACGTTAAAACAGCTAACAAATACGCAAAAAATTTATGATAAACTATGACCTATTTGTTATTATATTTCTGCTCCCGTCAAACATTTTAGAACAGAATTCATGGAAAGAATAGCACCACGAAACTAACTAGTTTAAGATATAAAAACTTTTTTGGCTCATTAAGCAGAACTACATTTAAGAAGTTCTAGAAGATCCGTACGGGCCTAAAACAGAGACTTAAATTATTACATTTATATATTTTTTTCATATTTAGCAATTGCATGTAATTCTAAAGAAAATTTAAAAATAACGATTAAATACAGGAATGTAAACCGAAGATATAGGTAGGCATTTCCTTAATAAAATTAATTAAAAAATAAATAATAGGCGTTTTGAGTGAGATTCAAACGAAGTGGTGACTAACTACTCAACCGATGATGAAAATGACCTTTCAAGTTTAAGTTCAATGTTTATGGAGTGGCCAAATATACAATAATCAAAGATTAAGAAGTTGAAGGATCGTTCAAACACACAAATACAATTACGCCATGTCCCATAACTTCGTCTACACATGAAAAGAATATGTATCAGATACGTGTTAAAAGATTAGTCTGGAGCGGCTGACAGAAAATAATGATTCAGTCTACTTTAATAATTATACGGTTGCAGATAAATGTAATCATTTTGCGAAGGAACAATTATTGTATAAATCGGTTCAATGATTTAAAAACAACACAGTAGTTTACAAAAAAGAAGTTAACAATATCGATAAAATATTCTGTAGAAAAAAAGTGGACTGCAAGAAAATTTTGTATAAAAAATGAAAATACACATTTATAACAATAGATCTTTCAAAACGATATTCTTTGGTAACCCGCAATGCAGGAATGCCTTGCGGGTTAGTATTCTTGACTGTTTTCAGGCGCTGATAATCTGCAATACACCGTTTTTTAATAACAATATTTAATAAGTTAAATTCTTTATTATCGACTAAAATAATTTTATATTTTTATATTTGTAGTAGTTTATTTGTATATACAGGACGGTTTGTTATAAGATGAAAAAGACGAAAGTAGACTGTAAATAGGGTAGATCACCGCAAAAACTGGTCTACCAACTCAATCCATTAAAAGATAAGATTTAGATGTTTTAAAAAGAAAAAATGGATTTGCCACACGAAACCAAAAAAAAAAAAAAGATTTTTTCTGTTATCTATGCATTTTTTAATCAAAATTTGGGTCGTTTTAAAATTTAGTTTAAAATTTATAAAGAATAGACTGAAACTCTTTCGTTGTAAACGGGTAGCCGTTTCGATGGGGCAAACCTGTAAAGTTTTTTAAGAATTTCAAATAGTAAATGCGATATAACGAAACTGAAGAGTACTGGTTAAAATGAAATAATGATTGGCTTCTTTTTGGAAACACAATCCACTAAAGCAGATCGAAGTGAACCAATTCTCGCAAATTTGGGGCTACATTCACATTATACAGTGCACACTTTTGTAGTAGGACTACAAGTTTAAAAGGCTTTTTCTAATAAAGGATTAAAAATCTATTATCCTCAAAACCTTTGAGGTGTTTTCAGTCATTTAGGTCTCTCGCCCATTTCTTCCATCTTCTACGGAATCAGGGTGTAATTTATTTTCTGATATTTTTCATACTTACATTTGACTATATATTTCAGTCATTTTAAAACCCAAAGAAGGCTTGCTGGCACGTGTTATTTGTTGTAATTATTGTATGTTTGGCGGTCTTAATGTTCGAAATGGTTGATTTTTCAGAAGTAACCCTTGCAAATGATCCATCTTAGATTTGTTCTTGAGTTTAATTATTTTACTATGCGAGTATATTGATCTTTTATTACGTGCAATTTGATTGTTAGCGTTCATTTTGGTCTGTCTATCCTAGGATGTTTGTGCATGTGTCTGTTAGGCGTGTTTCTCCATTTCACCATTTTCAGTGGAAGATGGGGTTGTGCCGAAACGAGCGAGAATAGCCAGCATGCTAGCAACAATCAAATTCTCTCACTTCTCTCTCTTTATATTTTTATATATATTTTTTTCTCACTCACATTTCCAATTCTCCCTCTCTCTCTCACTCTCTCTCTCTCTCTCTCTCTCTCTCTCGTTTTTCCTAAAAGAGATATGTAAAAATATAAAAAGATATGTAGATACGTAGCTAGATATGTTTTATTTATCTCTTCTTCTAGTTAAATTCTCGCTTTCTCTCTCTCTCTCTCTCTCTCTCTCTCTCTCTCTCTCTCTTTCTCTCTTTCTATATCAATCTTTATTTCTAACATTTATATATATATTTTTTTTTTAACTTTCCCAAATTCTCTTTTTGGCTTTTTTTATATCTTTATCACTTTCGTACATTTCTAACTCTCTCACTTTCTCTTTCTCTTCTCTCTATATCTTTCTCCCTCTACGTCTATTTCTCTCTAGCCCTTCTTCTAAAAGATATATAAAAAGATAGATGTTTATATTCATTGATAGTTAGATATCTTTTTATATTTGTCTTTTTCACTCACATTCCTAGCTATATCACATTCTCTATCTCCCTCTCACTCTCTGCCCCTTTTTGTAAGATATATATATTTTTATCACCCTTGTACATTCTCTATATAATTTTCATCTATTTTTTCCCACACTTTATCACATTTGTATATTTCTAACATTCTCTCCTCTCACCTCTCTGTTCTTTCCCCCACCCTCTCTTTCTCACTCTCTCTCTGCCTCCCTTTCTGTATCAATAGTTATTTCTATGTATCCGTTTTAAAAACATATACAAACATGTATATATATCTCCAAAACATAGATAAAGTTCTTGTAGCTGTTTTTCACCTTAATATTTTGATCCGCTTGTTTACTATGTGACGCAAGAACTGACAGGCCATACGGTTAAAGAAACATCAAGCAATATCTGTTTATTCTTTAAATAAAACGTTTTAAATACATTATGTAAAAACTTGACAATCATTTATCATGATTAACATGGCGTTAAAATGAAGATAATTGAATTGGCGTAAGTAGGTCAAGTCACGGTAGATAATATAATCATGATTATCTGATTATAACAAGATCAATCAGTAAAAGGCAAATAATACTCAGACGTGGTTGTTTAGACAGACAAGTTAACTAAATACCATTTTAAATTGGACCACTATTGTTTCATATGTTTCCTCAGTGTAATTTTTGTGTCACATTAAGTTAGGATTTATTAAAGTTGTTATTTTCTTTTCAAAAATTCAAATAGTCAATATGAAGTGAATGAAGAACTTCCAGTTCAAAATTCACCCATTCCCTTGATATACGGTTTTGTTTTGACAGTGCTTTCAAGACGGAATTAGAAGTTTTAAAGATAATGGTCTCAGGGTTGGCAAGTCTTTAATTAATGTTTTTGGCAATGTAAACCACATTCTGCACAACGCCACCATGACAAAAGGGGCGAGATTGAGCCTTGAAAGAAAGGAGGATCGCGCAACTCCGTCAGACATTGCTTCATCCCCTTTTTTTCTATCGACATTTTTTTCCTCTCTTCATGCTGCAAAATTAATAGAACGTTTCGTCAGTTGTAAAGAATGAACAACAGACCCTATCTTGCGACATAAATTAAGGAAAAGAACCCAACAAAAGTCAATCTAGACGACCTAATTTTTATAGAGAAAGCTTCGAAGTACGGTGAATTCGATGAAATGCCACTATGATCGAAAAAAACTGTTCATGATTCAACGTTGGTCCGTTTACCGACCATTGTAACATGAATAAATATACTAGAGACTGTTACTTCATAAATATTTTTTCTAATTTGTTCGATTTTTTAATATGTAATAAATTTGTTTCAATATTTTCTTCAAGATATTTAAATCTATATCTAAATTTTTATAGATTTACAAAAATTTATTGTTGGTTACGTTTGGGTCATGTGGCTTATATCAACGGTCCGCCTGTTTCCGCTAAATTTATGCCACTCTATTCTCTAAGAATAAAATAAATAAAAAACATCAAAACCCTTTAAATTTATTTTTCTTAATATTTTTTAGTAAAAAAAACTATAAAATATTAAGAAAAATAAATTTAAAGGGTTTTGATGTTTTTTATTTATTTTATTCTTTCAATGCTTTGCCTACTTAACTGATTGAAAGTAGGTTATGATGATTGTCTTATCAGAAAGAATTTGACCTTTCTATCTTTGAAAAGTTAGAAAATTTAATATTATCTATGCTAAAATAGTAAAATTCTAGTACTTTTAAATTGGAAAATATAATTGTAACCTAATGTTGGAAAGGTGAATAAATATAATGCAATTTTTAGTTTGATGATAACAATGTATTTATTTCATAAAAACTTTAAAGAAGTGCATATAACAATTTGTAGGTTGTAATTGAACTTAATGCTTAGCCCCAGGGTCCGTATTCTACTGGCCTGGCTGCGGCGGCGGCGTGGTTGAGCGCTGCTGTGGCTGCGGCAGCTTTTGCAGCAGTCTTGTGAATGGCGTGAGCGGCAGCTTGTGATCTCTAAAGGCCAAATACGTTTTAAAAAGTGATTATCTTGCTGGGGAAAAATCTAGATTTACCTGGATCGCGGCTGCTGCGGCGGCAGCGGCTTCAGACCTCTGGAGAGCGGCTGCTGCTGCGGCTGCGGCCTCTTGTCTGTGGATAGCTGCGGCGGCGGCTTCGGATCTTTGGATGGCTGCGGCTGTGGCTGCAGCGGCTTCGGACCTCTGGATGGCAGCGGCGGCGGCTGCTTCTTTAGCGGCGGCGATCTTCTGCTGGATGAGGACTGTTTCTTTGGCCTGTTGGACTCTCTGTTGAGCGATCGCGGCGGCGGCTGAAGCTTCCTTGGCGGCTTGGAGGGCGGCTGTGACTTCGGCGGCGTTTACAGCATGGGCAGAATGAAGTGCGATGGTATGAGCGGCGCCCTAAGAAAATTTAACCGTTCACCAAAGTGAATTTGAAAGTATATTTTTGTTGTTTTACTTTGGCAAAATTGAGTTCTGGCTGTCCCAAGGATCCAGGGTAGTGAGACCCTCCAGTGATTTGGTTCGTCAGGGCGGGAAGTTCGGCTGAAAGAGGCCATCCTAGACCCGCTGGAGGCCAAACTGGTGCAGATCCAGGGTTCCAGCCGGCGGGGAAGACAGGATAAGCCAGACCGGTGAGTCCTCTTTTAGTTGCCACCGCTTTTCCTTCTTCTGATGCAGCGGCGAATCCCACGAGGAAGCCAAGAACCACCTAAATTCGCACAATTTCCCTCGTATAACAAAAAATATTCCTTCTTAAAATTGTAAATTCACCACTTTTACTTACAACTTTTGAAGCGAACATTTTTGATTTTTTAGATTTCTTAGTAGCTCTTGCCTTGGAGGATGGAAGGCGATGAGTGGATGCCCTAAGATCCATTCTTCTCCCTTTTATACTCCTCACGATCCCAGTTAATGAATGTCCCAAGTAATTGGCTTTGTTTACTTTCCCCGCCTGCAATTCACTAGGGCTTCGTCTACGTGACCCACCCAATGAGGGCGTAATACTTTTCGAACCCCTTTACGTTACATCCAATCACGTAACAGGACATAGATACTCCTGAAATATACTAACTGTGACTTAAACCACAGAGTCAATAAATAATTGAGCGATTTGCATTGTATTTAGGTAGGTCAATATAGATGACGTTGGTTAATTAATCTGACCTCCAAGCTGTCTTTATCTTCAAAGGGTAGACTAAAGAAAATTCTAAGCTCTTTGTTTTATGCTAAGCTCTTATTAAATGACGCTGATTAACTACATTTTTTAGCCCATGATGATTAATGATACGATATCATTGTCTCTATAACTAAATTTAACAAAAAACTTATATATTAAAAATAAAAAATAAAAATAAAATCAAGCATTGATGCTACTTAAAATGAATCTGTATAGTTTACCTTTTGTTAAAGATAATCTGTGATAGATGGATTATGCGATAAGATGAATCAATATTAACTTCAGATTATATTTTATCTCAATTCACAAAAATAAATTTTCTAATAAATAAATTCATTACTTCCACTGTTATGCGAAGTAAAAGTAATAGTGATTGTGATATACTTTTTAAAAGTGTGTTGTATGTGGAATAAAAAATAAATTTAAAAGTTTACAATTTACAGTATTTTTTGATAAATAATATACGGCTACCCCCAATGATAGTTGGACATTAAGTTCTCTTGTAAGACAGGAATTATTAACTTATCTAATTCACATGAAGCGAAATATAACCTTGAATGTACTAGATTCAATATTAGAAGATATTAAAGAATAATTTTATAAATATTTCATTAATTCCATTATATTTCGTGATCCGATTGATAAACTTTTTTCAGTTAATTAATCTTTATATAAGGTATTAGTTGAAATGAAAAAGTTAGTGTCACGAGCAGGATTCGTACCCACGACCTTCGGCTCAATAAGCCGTTGCTCTAACCACTTGAGCTATCGTGACTTCAATCCACTCGGACAGCAACTTATTTCATTAATATTTATTTGGCCGGTGTACAATTTTCTCTTGCTCTATGTTACTCTTATGATAATCATGTAAAAGTTAGTGTTGCTCATGTTGTTAGTTAGTGCACAGTGCCCAGGGTGCCTACGTTTAAAAAAGAAAAATACACTTTCTGTAAAAATGTCCCATTGGTTTTTACTTTACTGTAAATAAAAACGATTCTTTTTTTTCTATTTTGAATGCTCGTTAGGCTGTACTTAGTAAATAAAAATAGCAGGAATTAGTAGAAATGAAAACGTTAGTGTCACGAGCGGTATTCGAACACACGACCTTCGGCTCAATACGCAGCTGCTCTAACTACTTGATCTATCGTGACTTCAATCCACTCGGACAGCAACTTATTTCATTAATATTTATTTGGCCGGTGTACAATTTTCTCTTGCTCTATGTTACTCTTATGATAATCATGTAAAAGTTAGTGTTGCTCATGTTGTTAGTTAGTGCACAGTGCCCAGGGTGCCTACGTTTAAAAAAGAAAAATACACTTTCTGTAAAAATGTCCCATTGGTTTTTACTTTACTGTAAATAAAAACGATTCTTTTTTTTCTATTTTGAATGCCCATTAGGCTGTACTTAGTAAATAAATATAGCAGAGCGACAAATATTTCACTATTTTATCTAATAAAATTTAGGTTATACTGCAAAGATGTAAAGGCTGCCTTTAAAGTTAAATATATACATGGACATAGAAGAAGATATTAAAGTAAATTTGTCAGTTCTACGGCCAGACAATGCCACATGTTTCCCACAATTTACCAAATATTTCAAAAAAATTCTTCCTATTAGACCAATTATGTTTGTATTTAAGTAACAAAAATTAAATTAAAATATTATTTGTGTGTATAAAAAGTCAGGGATTAGGCGAGTTTGAAAGAAAGAAAAACACTCAGTTCCTTCGTTAAGCCTGCAGAATGCATCCTGCCTTGGGTTCTAATACTGTATATATAAAATGTAACGAAAGATTAATATAATATAAAATAATGATGATAATAGTTTATATATCACAACTATTACTGGTGTTCCTAGCAGATAGCTGTTAATAATTATAAAATATTTAAAGGACTAGAAGAACTAGGTTTAATTAATGTAGTTTAAACACAGACAAAGTCTATACAGGGTGAACCAATGACGCTATCAAATAACATGCGTTTAATATTTTTATAATTTATTTACTTCCAGGAATTAACATTTGCTCTCAAAATGCGAGTTTGACAAACAATGAAAAAATGTAAACAATACGGCAATTAATTTTCACTTTAATAAAGAAGCAAATTATTGGAATTACCAACGAAAAAAAGAAATGCGTTTTTCAAACGTTTTGCCAGAACTTTGTCATTATTTGACCAATTTAAAATCTGATTGCACCATTGTTTTCAGCGTAAAAAATCCTCTAAAATGTTATGCCAGGATGTATAGGGACGTGATTGAAATTTTGAAGTTGAACTGGCCCCTGTATAATTTTTCTTAAAAAAAAGGTAAAAATTTGAAACTAGACTAAAAAATATTAAACACGTATATTTTTTTGATAGAGTCATTGGTTTAAGAGAGATTCAGCCGAGCCATCTAAAAAGGACACCCTGTATAAAAAAAAGTGTTTTCAAAACTAAACTGAAACATACCATAAGTAAAATATAGTAACGTAATGTAAAAACTTAATTACGCATCATATGATGCTACATATTAATGACAAATCAAACGACCAATTAAAAATAGAATTTCTGTATAGTATGGAGCAATTTTAGACCATACTTTACTACTACCATAAGTGAGTCATTTTTCTTAATTTTTTAATTAAAGCAAATTTATTGGGGACGACTGAACGAATTTATTTCTGTTTTGTAATGTAAAGGTGTTAATAAATGAATACCGTCAACCAAAGCAATAAATATGTATTTAAATAAATAAAACTTGTGTTTTATTATTATTGGGAGATCGTGAGATGCGGTCTGGTTTGACGTAAGTTTTAGAAAAACATTTTCTTTATCATGCCAACGTTTCGATCTTTATTGAGATCTTCTTCGGGGCTCAAAGTGTTTGTTTGTGTATACATGTGCCCGTGTGGTACTCTCAACACGACACACAAGAATGACACATCTACACGGAGAACAAACACTTTGAGTCCTGAAGATGATCTTAATAAACACTGAAACGTTGGCACAATAAAGAAAATTTTTTTCTAAAACCTACGTCACGCCAGATCCCATCTCACGATCTCCAAATAATCATTGACTAACGGTCACTAAATTCCACACTGTTATGTTTTATATTATTAATGCCAGCCTTAATATTATAATTGTATATAAAATATCAGGAAAGGCAAATTTGACAGAAAACCCTCAATTCCTTCGTCAAGTTATCGAGAAATAAATCCATTTCAGGAGGACTTCGAAATTATTTGTATTAAATTACATAGTTATTTTTATTATTATGGATATCCTTTTGTTTGGACAGATTTGTTAACCGTGTAAATAATTAGAAATAGTTTCAAAGTCTAGTGGTTTTTCCCCCAAAAAACTACCCAATAGAAAAATATAGGGGAAGACAGAAGTTAAACTCACCTCTACATTAGTGACATTATAACCTATGAATCTTTTGTTAATTTAATTCTTCTACTTTTTAGAACCAGAGCTATTTTCAACAGTTGTTTTTCGCAAGTTTGATGAAGAAACTGAGTTTTTTTTCTTTATTTCAAACTCGTCTTGGCTATAGTTTATATACAATTCATATAAATTCCTCATAAATTTTTAAAATTTACTGATAAGTAAAGCGCGAGTAAAGGAATATTACGGAGTAATTTGGTCGTTACCGATTATTTTGGTCAGCCTATTATAGCTGGGTCCGGCAGTCGAACATTTCATAAACTACTCATTGTTTGTTCTCCAAGGGTACAATGAAATGATGATATCGACAGTGAACCTAATACATGAGAGCTTCTGCCATTCCAACCAAATTCTTTTAATTATGGTTTTTATTGCATTTTCAGCGTCAGAGGGCCGGATCGCGGTGGTTAAGTCCGCAGGTTGGGTCGTAATCGATATACTGTAAATTTAATCTTCTTGCACTTTTTATTACTTAGAAGCTAGAAGAACCCAGCAGAAACCAGCTGTATTAATTATGGTTGTATACCATACTACCAGCTGTATGGTATTAATTCAAATTAGTGAAGCAGCAGATTTGGACTACTCAAGGATGTCAATTATGATTTAAGTAAATCATTAAAATTATTTTTTATTATTACTTTCTCAAATACATATTTCTCTCTTTTTAAGTACTGTTGTTTGTTGCTGTTATTTAATATTTTTTTCCTTTAATTTTTCTTGTCGCTTACATTACATTTTGTTCAGTTCTTTGTGTTTGTTACACCATTCTTTTTTTAATTTTTTGTTTTGTTTTAAAAGGTAGGTGGTTTCACTCTTCGGCAGGTGGCTTTTTACCATGCCCTTTGTTCATTTGTTTTATACACCCCTCTGTTGATTGCTTAATAATTATTATTTTTACTTAGAGGAACAGATCACCTGTAAATGTTCGCCTTAGCATTTCTACCTTAGGAAAAGAATTGACGGAAATGATTAGATTTTATGACTTGGTGTCTGTGTGCTTTATGCCTTCAAAATCCACTTACTATACATCAATTTTCCAAAAAAAAAAAATACAAACAAGTGCAACAATCAACCTCGTACGTTAAATTGAGGATTGTACATCGTTACCAAGGCCTATAAAACTGAAAATTTCAACCGAGAATCTCACTCTTATCGTTTATAAATTGCGTAATTCACCGTCTGGAAGCTTTGAAAGAAAGGACCGTTCATTTTCCTATCCGCTCACTTCTATC